GGGGAAAAGAGCGTGAATTCGCCGCTTCCACCGTGCTCCAGTGCACCTCAGGGCCACCGGGTTGTAATTTGAATCTAGCCGTTCAGCCGGCACTCTACTGATGCCTAAACTTGGCTCCTTGCCTTTGCTGGAGGTGAACAGTTACAAAATTGATTACCTCCTGTAAAAAGGGGACTGAAATGTATGAAAGGAGCTTGCAAAATCTGTCCAAAATCAGTGGGGCAAGAGGAATGATGACCTTAAGTTGCACCAAAGAAGGTTCATGTGAGATATTAAGAGAAAAAGGAGTGGTAAAACACTGAACAGGCTGTGCAGGGAAAGGGCAGAGTCRCTGTTCAAGAAACATGCAGATGAGGCACTGAGGGACACGGTTTAGCAGGCAGGGGCTGCTGGCATGRCTGAAGGTCTTGCAGTTGAACTCAGTGATCTTAAAGGTCTTTTCCAACCATAATCATTCTATGATTCAAGAACAGCCAGTTCTCCGCTGAGCACAAGGGCTTTTTATGAAGCAGGTAAAAAAGGAGGCTGAAATCAGCCTGGGGGAGTCAAACTCAGAAAGAGTGAAGATTTCAAACTCCGCTTGTGGCTCAAAACTTCAGTTCACACAGAAAACTCAGTATCTCCCCCACTTTTTGCTTTTTTCTTTTGTATTTTCTTGTATGCAAAGGGGATCACTGCTTGAAGATTATGGTAAAGATCACACAAAGGTTAACACAATCTGATTTATGAAGTGCTACGAACACTACAGTGCCAGCTGGCCCTAATTTACCTAAGAAATGGGTATTTAAAAGAACCAGATCAAAATTGGCTACTTACCACTGCTTGATCTGCCAAACTTCCACCCTATGCAGTATATTCCTGCACGTGACACCCCTCTCTGGTTTATTTGATGCCTGGTAGCAGGCCAGAGCAGTGCATGAGTTACAGGGATCACTCCTGGCTCTCTGAACGTCTGTGAAAAGGCCACCAATGCACAGTCCTTTATGCACAGTCCTTTATAAGGATCAAAGTGGATCACTTTACACTAACTGTAGGACTGCACAGCCTGGAAGCATTGCAGGTAAATCAAGCAAACAAGCTCACAGCACAGTCCTTTGGCCAAGCAGGGCAAAATATTGCTCGAGCACAAACGGGAGGAGGCCTCAGTGCCTGCAGCTGTCACTATAGCACAACTTCACTCCTGGCCCTGGGAGGTATAAATCTTTAGGAAAGATTTGCCAGAGATCTCCAAAGATCAGCTGGAAGAATTAACTCCTCATATGGTAAACAGATTAAACACACAGCTTGGCTGTATTCCATGCATTCACCTAATGAATGCATTTTGCTTAGACTGCTTGCAGAGTTCAGGTTAAAAGGAACACAAAAACAAGTATTACAAAGAAATAATTCATCATGCTGTAGCAATTCAAGACTTCTAGTATTAAATAAGCTACATGGTATCTCGATGCAGCAATTACTGAAATAAATTCAGTATGTTTTCTCAGCAACCACTGCTCAAACTATGACAACAGTTCTTTCCTGAAAGTAATCTGTTCATAATTTTAAAATCAGAAATAAGACACACTTCTCTCAGCTTAAAAATATTTTATTATAAGATGCCATGCTCCAACTTGTTCCAGGTCTGGACATTCACTGTGCCTGTACACACACCTAAACAGATGATTGTTGTTCTGTGGCAAGCTTTCCTGGCAGTCTCTGTTCTATCTTTATTGATAGATTCTTTTTGGCTCCCGCAGAACAACACCGCCCTCCTTCACAGCTTTTTCAAATTCCTGAATCTGTTTTGAAAGATATATATTTAAAAAAAAAAAAAAGAGAGAGAGAGAGATTAATAAATATGAAGGGTTTTTTTTCCCCCATCCCACACAAGAAGAAAAAAAAATCAGCACGGAAATGTAATTTGGTAACCTCTGCCTCTGCATAGCGGTTAACTGCCTCACTGAAACAGAATAGGAACTGCAGCCTCTTAGTTATCCTTTTGACTGCAACAAGGAGGGATTTGTCAAGCTACATAACACTGTGATGTGTTCTGTGTCTGATGTGTTCAAGAAGAGTAAAATAAACATTCACAACGAAGAAAAGAAAAACTGTTTTGAGGAGACAGATACTTGCCGAGTCACAGTGACGCTCCCAGGGGATGATTGCTTTGAAGTCCACAAAGTTGATTCCTGCTTCCAGGCAGCGCTGTGCCACGACGTGGCCGAGGTTCTTGCACGCCGTCACGCCCCTAGGGCTGTACAGGTGCCTCTTTATAGCCCACTCTCGGGTGGAGGCCGACACTACCACATCCCCATTGCGGCACTCRACAAAGGCTTCTACGTAATGCTGGGTCCGCTCAAACCGCAATCTGGGTGAAGGAAAAAAATACCATGGGATATGAAGTATTCTCCACGTCTGAAAAGAGAAAAGCATTAAGTGCCTAAGCACACTTTATATGTATCTCACTGATGAAAGAGAACTGTAATAATAATAATAACAGTGGTTTTTTTTTTTTCTATTGATTTTAGTACCAGGAGTATTGTTTCCCTTTATAAGGGCATAAAACAGGACTTGAAGCAATGTCTGGTGTGAGCTTTTGACTCAGGCTTTGGTGCACTCTTAGGGCAGGCTGAATACCTACTGAGAACACAGTGGAGGGCAGGCAGGCAGGCAAGTAACCAGAGTTCTGATTAAAACTTTTGAAGCTTTCAAAGCTTTTAAGATATGCCTGCTGAGAAAGACACATTTTTATTCAGTGCTATCACATAAAGAGAAAAAAAAAACCAACAAAAAAACAGATGTTCAGATACAAACTGAATAGGATTCTTATCTTAAGAAAAATAATGATACTATTTGGCCAACTTATTTTCYAGTCCAAAGGAACTTATTTTCCAGACAATAAGTGATAATTTTCTAAAAAGACGGCTATTCTTGTGCCTCAAGTAAAACAGTAATACATGGTCAGAACAGATAAGTTAAACAGCAGTGCTGTGGTGACTGCTGCCTTAAGAGTAGTTAGAAAGAATACAAACACATAAACTTCCACATGATGACAGAGAACTGTTCTCTGAACACAACAGATGATCCACTTGAATTCTTTCGAAGTCTTCCTCTCTGGGAGCAGCTTTCAGCCTCACCTGTGCCAGAACTCTCGCTTGGGCCACGTCGTCTTCCAGCCGCGCTCCTTCCTAGCCAGGGCCATTTGCTCCAGGTTCCGAGGGTTCCTGTTAGTGAATTCGGGGGCAACAATCTCATTTTCGCTCGTGTCCACCTCGCTCTCGGTTTTGAGGCCAGTTGCCACTGAGGCAAAACGAGGAGCTGGAGAGAAAGTGCGAAACGTTCTGACACGCAGTGCTTGCAGCAGCATGAACAGCACAGAGCACAAAGATAACTTGGCTTTTGTAAGCACCAAATGGATCGTTACCAGAGCTCAACCCCTTTTCTGGACTGTAAACTAAAAACGAAGTGTATGTAAAGTGTAAATGTGCTTCAGGACCCCCAGGTGCAATGTTGGTTCAGTCACCGAGAGCAGATCGCCCGGCTGCAGGCTCTAGGAGACACCCAAAGACACGGAGCCCACACCGCGACGGGCCCGCGGGGCGGCCTCTCCGGGCACCCACCTGCGGCGCGGGGCTGCAGCCGCGCGGCCGCGGCGCCCAGGAGGCGGCAGGTCCCGCTGCTCAGCGCCATGCGGAGCCGGAGCCGCCGCGTCCCGCCCGGCCCGTCACGGACACCCGCGCGCCGCCATCTTGCGTGAGGCAGGCACCGCTTGGCGGAAACCGGCTTCCAGGCGACTTCCGCCCGCACTTGATGATGTCAGGCGGAAGCGCCTGGCTGCCGCCCGCCGCGGCCGCCCCGGGCTGCGCAGCAGTCCTCCCAATGGCGGCCTGGGGSAGGAACCCCTTCTCGTGGCCACGCTCCGCCACGCGCGCGCGCGCCGGGCTGGCGAGCCGAACCCTTCGGGAATATGTCCCACCTCCAGAAAAGGGACTGCAAAAGCCTCCCTAAACTGTTTTTTTTTTTCCTGTAACTAGGAACATGACGAAGAACGTTAAAGCACAAGATAACAGTTTATTAATTGACAGGCGGGCGTGAAAATGCCCTTAGGTACCAAATGTTACGGAATAGAACTAAGGTTCCTGTTTGTGAGCCTAAGAAAGCAGCAAGCTGTCGCGCAGGAACTTGTTTCCCGCTGCAGCCTAAACGGCGCAAACGCCGGTGCCACGAGCGCGCGCCACGCGGGTTTGCCTCCTGTCCGCGGGGGGGGGGGGGCGCAAGGGGAAGGCTCCGTGCGCATGCGCGAGCCCGCGGCGCCTTCTAGAACCTCCTGGAACAGCCCGCGCCTCCCCGCTCGCTGCGCACCCGCAGCGGTGACGACTGTCAGCGGCACGGGCCAATCGCGGCTGGCGGCGTCGTAACGGTGGGGCGGGGCGCGCCGCCGGATTGGGCGGGCGGGCAGGCGCGGCCTTGTGCCGGCCCGCCCCGCCCCTGCGCGGCGGGAGGGGGCCTGGGGGTACCCATCGTGCTTTGCGGCAGCGTCGCCTCCCCGCGCGCGGCCGCTCCCTGTGTGTGCGGGGCCCGCGGGACATGGCGGCGATGGACGGGCCTCTGGCCGTGTTCGGCGAGCGCACCAGCGGCGACACCATCCGCACGCAGAACGGTAGCGGCCGCGGGCGGGCGGGCGCCTCGTGGGAGCGGGGGGGAGACAGCGAGGAGGCAACATGGCGCCGCCTGCGTGCCGCCATGTGCTCGTCCGCCCTTTCGTGGGGCGACCCAGGCCTCTAACGCCCTCGGCTTCCTGGGACGCGGCTGCTGCTGGTTGCAGACCGGCCTCTTGTGCCGCCCYTCGCGGAGCCGAGCTGCGGACGGGCACCGGTGCTGCATAGCTGCTTTAGGCATAGGGATTATCCTCGACATGCGTGTCCCGTTGTTAGTCCAGGTCTCGCACGTTACTCGCAGTTTTAAACCAAGTCTGAGGGGGCAAATCTGCAAATTCTGAGTCGGTTCCCAGGGTAGTTTTAGAGTTGGTAAAAGGGGTTGCTGAGATCTATCTTTTAACAATTATACGACTCTGATGCAGTTCTTAAAGCTGAATGCTCAAGGATGCTCTAGACGAAGGTTCCTATTGTGTGGCTCAGAAATAATCTCATAGTGACAAGCTGAACTGTATCAGGCATATTTGCTTTCAGTAAGTAGCAGTTACTCATTGAAAGTAAGAGAAAAGGTTATGTCGTTTAAAGACCCAAGTGAGCTATTCCCATTATACTACCACTTTTTCATTTTCTAGATTAAGTGGCTATGCTTGTGGGATAGAGAAAAATTTGCCACGGTCTGAAGGAAAAGGTTCATTGTATCTTTTTCCTATATGAAGTTGGCAGAACATCATTTAAACATGACAAATAAGCACTTTGTTTTACCTGTGGTCTATTTGGGATAAAAGAGATGTATGGTTCATGTATGGGGATACCCTTGTGTTGCACCTGCGCACTCGCATTTGSTGCTTTCTTTGTGGAGCTGTGGATGAAGTGTCACAGACTTGCAGCACCAAGCAGACTTGCTGCTACTAAAAGAAGCAGCGCAGTCAGTCTCTGCAAGGCAGGGCTCTTCGGACCTGTGCAGCGTCCTGTATTCGTATTATGACCCAATGTAAATTGGTGGGTGTTATTTTTTTTTTTTTTAAGAAGTTTCTTTTTTATGTCTGCTTAGTGAGTATAACCTGTTTGGATGGAAAAGCGAGCAGTGTTCTTCAGCAGCAGCAAGCTGTTACACAGCTAAATTATGTTAATGCACTTCAGTTTTCTTCAGTGTGGGTTCCTGGCACACTGTTTTCAAAGCCTGACTCCCCATGAAGATGGAAGGAAGTAACCTGTTATGTTTCTTTCATGCAGTTACTGCTGCATCTGCCATTGCCAACATAGTGAAGAGTTCTCTTGGGCCAGTTGGTCTGGATAAGATGTTGGTGGATGATATTGGGGTAAGTAATCTTTTTCTAAGGAGAAAGTGTCAGGGTGGTTTGTATACCTGAATGGAGTGTTTTACACTCAGATATTTACATTTTACAGATATTTTACAGATATTTTACACTTCAGATATTTAACATGCACACATGGTGGGGGAAGGAAAAGGAAACGGACAACTGTAAGGAAAGGGAGCCTACTAGATGCCATGTAATTTTGTGTTACATTGTTWTGCTGTAATTTAATGTAATAAAATATTAAAATGGGTTCCTTTTTATGTATAGGAATGTTTAGTAATACTTGGTAACATAGGAATGAATGCTACTGTTAAGTCAAGCCTCTTAGTGGTGTAGATTCGTAGATACCTTGATTGCTGCAGGAAAAGGGGTAACACATTTCCATGAATTCAAATAAACACAACCTTGCAGCCTGCTACAGTATTTTTGAAAGCCAGGGCAGTCTTCTAAAATTACTGTATTGAAGAGTAATCACTGCAGTATGGAATCAAACTATTACACGCAAAAAGGTAGATGAGTTACAGAACTCTTTATTTCTGTAAGGTGAACACATGGCAGGGGAATCCAGATTGTATATTAATAACAACACTGTCTCTACAGTGGGATTCCTGATTTTTAAAAAAATGAAGTAAATAATTGGTTTAATTAGTCATAATAACAGGTTTTCCCTAATCATCTCCTGTTTTTATTGACAAATACTTTGAAACACTGAGGTATTACATAAATGGAATAGAARTCAACATCAACATAATAGAAGAAAAATAGAAATAAACTTGGTATTAACATTTTGACTCTTGAAAATTAGGATGTCACCATTACTAATGATGGTGCAACTATCCTGAAACTGCTGGAAGTCGAACATCCTGCTGCAAAAGTTCTTTGTGAGCTGGCAGACCTGCAAGACAAGGAAGTCGGGGATGGGACCACTTCTGTGGTATGTACAAAGTTTTACAGGCAGAGATGCCAAAGTCCCTGTTTCATGACAAAAATGTAGCTTTAATTTGTTATGAATCCATTAGGGATCGTCATGTAATCAAGGTTAACTTTATAGAATGAAAAAAATCTGTAGTTCTCTATTGTAAGCTGGCTTTATAAAGCAGATTCCAGAACAAAGAAATTTGACTTYGATGTTTTAGGGATGCTAGTTTTCCATACTGTTTCCGTTTAACTGATGCTCTGGAATGGTCCTTGTTCTATGTAGTGGTGTTATTTGTGTCTTCCATTCTTGAAGTTTGAGGATAGGACATCTTAGTTGATGTTCTGAATGTTTAATCRGCAAGAGAAATCGAATGGTGGTTAGGTTAATAAATAAGGATGCTAAGTAGTACAGCCTTGTCTGAGACTTGTGATAATTCGTGAGCTGTTAAAGAGTTGATGAAAGACAGGAAAAAAATCAGGTATTTTTTTTCTTTTTCTTGAGGTTGGAAACTACTTGCAATATCAAGTTGCAAGAACTTTTTACCACTGAACAGACATAGGACAATTCTTTGCGATTTTACTTGCCAGTCATTGGTGACAGGTACTTACTTTGCTTGTATGGAACACGTTTTGTGTTTATATTTTAAACAGGTGATTATTGCTGCGGAACTTCTGAAAAATGCAGATGAACTAGTCAAACAGAAAATTCACCCTACCTCCATCATTGGTGGATATCGACTTGCTTGCAAGTAAGAACTTACTACAGTTGAAGTGTACTCTTTTAATACTGAGATTTCATGCTTTTGTTTAGTGCTTTATTTATGAGTACATTAATACAGATTCTGTGGAGCAAAGTAGCTTTGTGTTTCTTTGTTGTAGCTTCAGTGTTGAGCTTCTATATTACTAGATTAAAATGTCATTTTTACTGTTCTAGAGGATTTTCTACGGGGAAATAATAGTTATTATGAAATAATTATTTCATTTGTGTATTCTTTGAGGTAATATAAAGGAGGTTTGACAACATGCAAGATTCTCATCCATTCTGGCAGTGGTTTTCTTTAACACTTGTTTCTGTTCTGCAGAGAAGCAGTTCGCTACATCAATGAAAATCTCATTATTAACACAGATGAATTGGGCAGAGAGTGCCTAATTAACGCTGCTAAAACATCAATGTCCTCCAAGATAATAGGAATGTATCCTTTAACTTGATCAAGTTATTTAAAGAAGAATGTCTGTCGACCTTGAGTAGTGAGGCTAGTTTCCCTTGCAGCAGTTCCTAGGGTTGGGAATAGTAGTTAATCCATCTTTTTATAGTGGGGCTGCAAAGGACTCTTCGAAGAGATCAAAGTCTGGCATGGGAAAATATGTCCAGATGCAAACTATTTGAACATGTATGGACACACATGCCATAATGGTTCTTATGATGGACTGATTATTTCCTTACTGCATTGCATGTTAGTGACATTGGCAAAAGACTTGTGTGAACAAGTACCTGGGGAGTGAAAATACAGGAGAAAGGTTGCATTTTACTGGGTACTTGCATGAGAGCTTTTATTTTAAGCCTCTGTACTAGAAACTGAATATGACTTAATCATAGCATAGATTTTTTTTTTTGTTAAGGAACACAAGGAAGATAAAAAGAGTTGCATCACAGTACCCTGTCTTAATTTTCACGTCAGTTTTTCACCTTTAAAAACTACTCATTCTCTTAGGGGAATGGTAAAGTATATTGTGAAAGAATATTAAAGCTCTCATAGCTTTTTTTGCAGTGTTTTTGTGTGTATGTGTAATTATGCACGCACACACACACACACACGCACACACACACACACACACACACACAAGCATACCTAATACTATTTTTTTCTTAAGTTTAGCCTTAACAGCATTTTAGCGATGGTGATTTCTTTGCCAATATGGTGGTGGATGCTGCCCTGGCAGTTAAATACACAGACCAGAAGGGTCAGGCTCGGTATCCAATCAACTCTGTTAACGTCCTGAAGGCACACGGCCGCAGCCAGAAAGAAAGTATTCTTGTGAACGGTTACGCGCTCAACTGCGTGGTGGGCTCCCAGGGTAAGAGCATGTCACCTTTCATAGAGACACGGGTCCTTCCTTTCAGTCATTCCACCTRTGTGGATCTTCCTGCTGACTCCATTAGCTGCGACCGTTCCGTGAGCTCTCACTGCCAGAGCAAGTAACCAAAAGAAATGTAGCCCCTTCCCCGGTAGCTCCCGAGCTAGAGTCCTGCCAGCTCATGAGTGCATGGTTAAGTTGGCAGGTGGCTCTAACTGTTCTATGTTGGTGCAGAAGCTCTGTTACATCGGGCAGTGAACAACATAATGAAGCCTCCTTGCACTGCATGTCAAACAGAATTTCACAGGGTTTGTGCTTTAATACAGTATTAATACAGCTTAATACAGCATTAAAGGTATTTAAGAAAAAAATATAGCTTTTGCTCCTCCTGATAGTTTGTGACACCAAGAATATCTGTGTGGCTGGCTGCTGTACAGGAGTCCATCATAAGAAGTTTCTGTGCTTAACATCAGCACGTAGTGCCGCAATCTTCCGGAACATCAGTACCTCCCTGTGGGAGCCACTGTCAAGTTTACAGAGAAACATGTTTAGCAGAACTATGCTGGGATTAGATAACTTGAGGGATGTGACATTGAGTCAGGTCTTGGTGGTCATTTGAGGGGTTGGGGGAAGGTGTCCATAAAAAGTAACATTTTAGTAGGATTCTGAAATGTATTTTATTTCTTGCAAAGTTTTTATTGGTACATTTCTGTAATAGTGTGGAATTGGAGAAGGTACAAAGTAAAATATAGAAGTAATACAAGTTCTGTTTTCTGAAGCTACCTTTTCTTTTTCCTGTTAAATCAGTTTGACAGAATTCTTTCTTACTCTTCTCTCCGCAGGTATGACCAAGAGAATAGTTAATGCAAAGATTGCATGCTTGGATTTCAGCCTGCAGAAAGCAAAAATGAAGCTTGGTGTTCAGGTTGTTATCTCGGACCCAGAGAAGCTGGATCAGATAAGGCAGAGGTGTGTGGAAGCCTAGGAAGCTCACRGGGTTTCGCTTTGGTCCCCTCTGTTCAGGTTGCTTACACTTAAAACCAAGTACAAGAATGTGGAAGTGTTTTAAATGTTAATACTGCTTGGTAAGAGTAGATAATTAATAACTGCAGTTTGGACACAGGACTAGAACAAAGTCCATTTCAGAGATGTCTAGCTCCATTTGTGAAGTGGTTTCTTCTCATGGTAGGGTTGGGTTTTGAGGTTTCAGAAAGTTGATTGRAGAATGTGATGGCAAGATTTTAAATCCGTTTTTACAGCTTCGACATTGTCCTTGCAGAGAGTCAGACATTACAAAAGAAAGGATCCAGAAGATTCTGGCCACTGGTGCCAACGTTATCCTGACCACGGGAGGCATCGATGACATGTGCCTGAAGTACTTTGTTGATGCTGGCGCCATGGCAGTGCGCAGAGTCGTCAAGAAGGATCTGAAGCGCATTGCCAAGGCATCGGGAGGTAACGGCTGCAGGAATCCTCCTAGTTTCATTCATAAGCATTAGCTGCCCTTAGGGAATTGTTAAGGGATTTTCTTGATAGGCGAGACACTCCAGTAGAGTGTCTCCATTTAGAGAATTTCAGGGAGAAAATGGGCAGAGGTAGCTGTTCTTGGTAGGCTCTGTTTTCACTGTTGCTGTTAAAGCAGCGGTCTTTTAAAGGGGCACTGTAGGAGATGATTGCAGATGATGAAYGGAAGAAGGCTGCTTGTACCAGGCAGGCTTCCTCCTGCAAGGAGTAGGAACCCCAGTCTGTAATAGTTCATGAGTCTCTGTTGAGCACACCTTCATAAGCCTGTGTTTATGGAGAGTGGATTTTTATTGTGTTATGTACCTTGCAGAGACAGTTTAGGGACAAACCACAAACTTGTAAAACATCCAGTACCTACTGAAAAAAAATCTGGCCACAAACAGATGTTTGCAGTCACTTCCTGTGCTGTTGATATTTGTTTTGATAACAACTCTCAAATTTGTAAGAAAGCATTTTTATTTTAGTAAAGCACAAAAACTTGTACTAGCTGTGGAAAAAAAACAGTAGAAGTTAATTAAGAATACTGATTATAAACTGCAGAAAACTGAATTTCTACCAAATGTTCTTTGATTTATGAAAATCTGCAAATCTACTTAGGATACTTGTTTTCCTTCCTGTACGCCTGAAGCTGGCAAAGAGTTTTCTGGAAGAAAATGCTAATCTTTATTACTATTATTACTATTTTTTTTTTCAAGCAACCATATGTTCAACCCTTGCCAACCTTGAAGGAGAGGAGAGTTTTGAGGCCATAATGTTGGGACAAGCAGAAGAGGTGATTCAGGAGAGAATCTGTGATGATGAGCTTATTTTAATCAAGAAGTAAGAACTTCCTTTAGAATTCTTGATTTTTTACATAATGTCAATTAAGTTTGGAGATAAAATCCCATTTATTTGCTTCTATGCTTTCTTGGTGGTATGAGGAGTTATACGCATGGGAAAGACCATACAAGTTTCCTGCAAATTAGAGATGAAAGTGCCAGTGTTTCATCTCTCTTGCTGGGGCTGGACAGCTCTCTGTCATGAACCAGAACATCAGATTGCTCGGTGGGCTCTTATTTGAAATGTTGTGCTTGCAAAAAAAAAAAAAAAAAATTGACTTTATTGCTCAAGAAGAGCAGTAATTACCAGCTCTCTCAGCACACTGTATATTCTGTTCAAGGTAGTAGCGTWCCAGTGCTGTGTGGTAGCCGGACACTTGCAGAACCAAAGTTTGTTTAACCTGACGGTGGCTGCGCGTTAGCTTCTCCGCTGTGTGTCACAGTGGCCTCTCCTGGCCGTGGCACTTGGCGGGCGCTATGAGCCACCCTTAGCTCACTTGGAGGCTGGGTCGTTAAAGGGGACTTCACTGTCTTCTCTGCTCTCGCTTCCATCCCCAAACATCCTGACACCATAAATACCAAAGAAAGTGTTTAGCTTTCCKAATACTGTTTGTTCCCTGCTTACTTTGTTGAAAATGTTTTGGCAGTTATACTTTGTTTAAAATACTAAAAGCCAAGCTTGGTTCTTATATTTCAGGCTCTTGACTTGGTAACTTAAAATGTGCAGATCCTTCAGTGTGGCAGAATATTAAGATTTTGTCCTATATGTTTGAAGAATTTGGTGTCACTGACCTTTGTTTAAAAAAGGGAAAAATAAGGGCAAGAAGAATTTTAATTATATCCTCCTCTGCTTCCCTCCCTTCTGCTTCCTTTTTAACAGCACGAAGGCACGTACTTCAGCATCCATTATTTTACGGGGAGCTAATGACTTCATGTGTGATGAAATGGAGCGCTCTATACACGATGCACTCTGTGTTGTTAAAAGGGTGTTGGAATCCAAATCTGTTGTCCCAGGAGGTGGTGCTGTAGAGGCAGCCCTCTCAATATACCTTGAAAATTATGCAACAAGCATGGTAAGTCTTGCTGATAGTAACCATTTATTTATATGTGTTAAACTGGGGCAGTTTTCGTAATGGAGTTTTCAAATACTTGTACCGGGAGTCAGCGCTGTGCTGCACAAAGACACAGTTAGCTTATAGAATGTAAGATCCTGCTCTAAAATGATGGTATGAATTCTCTCTTGCTCTTGTATTTATACTGTGGGATTCTCTGGCATAAAACAAGTCTAGTCTGTAAAAACTTCTTCCTCTTGACCTCCATCACAGCTSTTTTTACCTCTTGTATTGCAGCAGTTGTTTTAAGATCTCTTTCCTCTTTGTAGGGATCACGTGAGCAGCTTGCAATAGCAGAATTCGCAAGGTCCCTCCTGATCATTCCAAACACATTGGCAGTAAATGCTGCTCAGGATGCCACCGATCTTGTTGCGAAGTTGAGAGCATTCCATAATGAGGCTCAAGTTAATCCGGATCGCAAAAACCTGAAATGGCAAGTGGGGCTAGTCGAGTTGGAATAAAGCGGGGTGGTATCCTAGACAGAAAGTTACCTTAGTTTACTCAAGGATTTGTGCTTGGAGTAATGATGGAAGAGTTCAGCGCTGGTCTACATTTACTTTATGTCAGTGACCCCAAATTTATTTCTACCTGTCCCTCTGATAGTATTTCCTCTTTTCAGGATTGGTCTGGACTTGATCAATGGCAAACCTCGCGATAACAAACAAGCCGGAGTCTTCGAGCCGACCATGGTCAAAACTAAAAGCTTAAAGTTTGCAACAGAAGCTGCGATCACCATTCTTCGAATTGATGATCTCATTAAACTGCACCCTGAAACTAAAGAAGATAGAGGGTGCTATGAAGATGCAGTTCACTCTGGAGCTCTTGAAGAATAACTTAGCTCTTATTTATGTTTGCATAGCTTACAAGAATGGAAAGTGTAACTAAACTGTTAATAAAATACATGCTTGAAAGCTGCTGCTATTTATTGTGAATTAATTAGTCTTCAAAAACAAGAGTTAAAAAACAGGTAGGTTGGGTTGAGAAGTTCTGCTTAGGGTAATAATTAGCCTGTACGGTACCTTCTAACTGTAGAACTGTTAACTAACAGTTAACAACTGGAACCTTGATCATTACTGGCAAAAAATGAGCCAGTACTCTTTTTTTTTTTTTTTTTTTTTACGGTTGTGGGGAAAACAAAACAAAACAAGGGTAGCCCCTCTTTAACACTTTATTAGTAAACTGAGACTCTTTACAAGTCAGTGGGTCCATACCCTGTACAGTTATCGTTCAACACACATGGCTATTCCCATCCCGCCTCCGATGCACAGCGCAGCAACACCGTATTTTCCACCTGTGCGTTCCAAGGCATGGAGAAGGGTGACCAGGATGCGGCAGCCCGAGGCCCCAAGAGGGTGGCCCAAGGCAACAGCCCCTCCTTGGCTGTTAACCTGAAAGAGAGGGCAATACATAGGGTCRGGGGGAAATATGACCTTGAATGCGAATATGCCTCAAACCACTAGCACTATGTTAAGAAAAATTGTAACAGCTGGTAGATCCCTTCTAATTAATATTTATTTGCAAAAGAGTGCATCAAAAAGAGTGTACCAACTACCTTTCTTAGCTGACGATACTGTGGGCTGGTTGAGGGGAAAGTTGGGAGGGGCCGGTTACATACAAGTTGCCAGCAGTAAATTCAAAGTGACGCCAATAAAAGCACTTGAGCAGGTACCTACCCTCGCATTCAAAGTCACCGTAGCAAGGTTGTAGCCTGTGCTGTTAGGAAGCAACTCACCTGGGAGCAAMGCACTCCCCTGGGCTGCCTGTTGCAATTCCCATCCTTATTGCTTATGGCAAAGTGAGTGCAAGAGGAGGCCCACAAGGTAATTACTCTAACTTATGGAGGGCAAGCTACTTAAGATACCTAGTACACTTATTACCTTTTCTGAATTTATTTTCAGTTCTTTCGTTATCGCAACAGATACTGCTGCAAAGGCTTCATTAATTTCAAACAAGTCAACTTGGTCCAGAGTCCAACCAGCTTTGGCAACCTGCAAACAAATAACCAGAAGCTTTACTTCCTCAGTACTGAGGAAGCTTTTCCTGAGATGTAAGCTGCAGCTGATCTAAGCCCCTCGCTGCTAGAAAGGCAAAGCAAATCGACATCAAGTTCTTTTCAGATTCTCAAAGCCAACAGGCAAAATTTTAGAGTGTTGTGAAAAGTAGATACAAATTGGTGCCTGCTCTTGAAAATAATTTTACATCATGCCGACTGGTACTGTTACAGTTGCAACCATCAAGCAGTGCCAGTAATAGTTTGGGAAGTGTGTTTAAAAGTGCTTTTTACCCTACCAAAAGCAGTGTTTCTCTCAATATCTAATTCTGTGTCATCCTCAAAGAGATTTCCAGTGTTCACCACAAACTTCCATACAGGAAACAGTGAAGTGACCATTAGTTGTAGGTATCACATGTAATTGGTCCAGTCTCTCCTTTCGTTCGGCTGAAATTCATCCCTTCGAACTTTCCGCAGTTGCTCTCAAAGATAATCAAGCCTAACGCTTTCACACGAGAAGCCATCCCGTGCTGCRAGAGGCTGCTCAGGTGAAACGTGCCTAAGCCTGTACCCGCTCCGGAGCTGCCCCTCCGCTCGCTTCGTGCCCGGTGACAGTGTTTTGTCAGCAGAACCTTCCGCAGCAGCCGCGTTTCGCAACCGGCCGCCAGGCAGCTGCGTCGCCTCCAGGGAGCTCAGGGATGGAGCCCGGCTCTGCAACCAGCGAGGCACCCGAGAAGCAGCTCRCACTGTTTGTGCTTGGCAGTTTAACCGGGAACTGTTCTGCTGAAGAGAGAGCTCCAACGGATGCAACAGTGGTCTGAGCGTGGGAGGTGCAGCCCCGGAGCACACCTTCTCCTCTAGTTCCACCTGGAAGGAATGCTGCTCACGTGCTCCAAGAGCTCTGCAGTGCAAGGCCCAGCAGAGGATACCATCCGATTTGCTGGGGTAGGTGCACTTGCTGCCCCTTCTCCCGGCTGCACTACTACAATATAGGATGGTGATAGGAAAAGTCATCTCGTGGCAAGATCAAATTACATTAGCATATTAGGTTAGATAAAATTTGACATTTAGCCTCTCGGGGTACATGTATAAGGTTTTCTACAAACTTGGCTAGTTTATTTTCTGAACTCTGTTCGTGTATGCTTAAAAATTTTCAGTGAACAGGCACTGGGCCTGAGTAGCAGCGGTAGCCTAAGTATTACATACTCTGCTTTTCAAAGCCTTGCTTGCACTTATTTTTTTCTACAATGTTTTCCTTAGGACAAAGGAAAAAAAAATCAGATAATGGCCAGTCAACRAATAGAGACTACATGCAATTTTTTTTCTTAATAGTAATTAGATAATTACTTACAGCTTGCTTTATTGCTGTAATGGGTCCTACTCCCATTATGGACGGGTCTAAACCTGTCTGAGCCCAAGATACAATCTGGGCCAAAGGTGTAAGACCTCGCCTAGCAGCTTCTGATTTCTTCATAAGAACTACAGCTGCAGCTCCATCATTTATGCCTGTAAAAAGAAAAGAAAAAAAGAAAAAGAAAGCAGTGTATTTTGGGGGATTTATGGCTTTTGTTACAGTACATTTGTCTGCTTGGGTAAATTTATGCAAAACAAGCAAAACAAAAATCACAGAACTTCAAAAGTTTTGCTGGTTTAAGTCAGCTGAAGCTGTKCAAATCAGCAGAATCTCACCAATGACACACATACACTCCCAAAGTTGCTCTTTTTGAGTAATGTGACACATTTGCCATTTTCATTAGGAAAGCAATAGATGCAAGAACTGAGACATAATCTGAAGGACGGAGACATCAACTCTATTAAGCCAACTTTGGAAGAAGCAGCGTAAGGACCAACACAGAAGTTTCAAAGCTGCCTACAGCAGGAATCAGTCCACAGTGATAAAATTTTCAAAAATGAATCACTAAGTTTTTCTTTGTCTTGACTTTTAGTATTAAACACACCACTACAGGCTTGGGGTTTTTTTTTTTTTTTTTTTTTTTAATGGAGAAAGTATCATTTCTATTTGTTTCAACCTCAGATTTTATTGTTATCTCCAAACACTTGCACTGCTTCAGAGAAAGCAAAGACAAGATATCTCATCCCGAGCTGCTACACTCAAGTTTGACCTATAATGTCACACACACACTGCCATTCCCTGAAAATATATTCAGCAGCACCACACTGAAGCCAAATCCCCAACACAGCCCTCCAAAGGGCATGCAGCCACTACTCTGTCTCATGTTTAGACAGATCGACCAACCTGAAGCATTAGCTGCTGTTACTGTCCCAGTTCCATCCTTCAGAAAACACGGCTTTAACTTTGCCACTGTTTCCAAGTTGCTCCCATGTCGAGGGTGTTCATCCATCTTAACTTCTACAGTACCTGCAAAACAGAGTGCTGCTCTTGGACCTTGGTRTCAGAAAGCTGACACCATTAACAAGCTGATCAGCAATATGTGCCATATTCCTCTTTAGCAATAGGCCCTTCTGGCTAAGAGAGGGCTTCCAGAGCAGAGCAGTTTACTAAAGCTCCCTCTTTACACGACAAACATGGGTTTTCTAAAACAAACAGCAACTACTAAAATATTGTCTAGTTGTATAAAAACAGATCTTGTTCCTGCTGTTCCTAMGCTAATAGCTTCTCTTCCAAGTAAAAGGTTATTTTTCCAAAGACAGTTCATTGCAAAGAACAGTCAAGAATCATTAAACACTATCTAAACTGATATCAGGAAAGCTCTACGTCAGTTTGTAACAGGACCAATGCCAGAACATTTTTTTTCCCCTCAAGGTCCCTTAAATGTAAACACTGAAAAACTGGTTCTTGATGTCTCTTTGAAAAAAAATTTTTTTGCATTACCACCTTACGAGAAGTTGGGGAGTTTTCCTACTCTAGAAACAGAGCTTTGACTCAAGTGCCAAAAAGGCCTACCTATATCCTTAAGAAACCTAAAGAGGATCATATATAATCCATTAATTTGCTTATTGCATCTACATGCACCTGGCCCACTTAATTAACATCACTTAATGTAACTGTGTCTTTTACTAGAGAGGCATGTTTCACCAGATCAATGTGCAGCAGGAATTTAATGTACCGTAATGGCAGTAGTAGTTGTGTAGAGCGACATTTAGACCTTGTGTGTTTATATTGCCTCTCATTTCAAAATAACTACTGATGGTTGAAAGAGAGCAACTCTCCAGCCTATGGAGCAGACTATGCGACTGGGAAACCGTCCACAACAGCCCAATAGCAGCAAACAGGTTTTTATTTAAATGTAGTTGTTGTTATCCATTCACACATACCTTTTCTAGAAGGTACAAGAACAGGAACAATTTCTTTTGCAAAATGGCCAGCTTTCTGTGCTGCCTCTGCCCTGTTTTGTGACTGTACAGCAAGTTGGTCTTGTTCCACTCTGCTAACTTGCCACTGATTAGCCACATTTTCAGCTGAAATAAGAACAAAATATAAAGTTAAATCATCATTTCAGACCATCGGGAACTGCTATGACTATAAGTTTAAATTCTAGCACAAAGGCAGTCTTGAACATTTGCAGCAGCAGCAGCTAGCAGCTCAACTTGTTAAATGGCTTTCATTCTGCATCTTTCATTTTATTTGCCTAAGACTCTCTGCCAATTTTCTTCTGGGCAATCTCTGTGAATGATGACTTCCTAAAGGGCAGATCAGGTTAAACACAGATGAACAAAAAGCTTTTCTAGGTGGCCGCTTTTCTGGATAGCTATATTCAGGTGTCTCTACAGCTACCTCAGATGAGAGGACTGTTTAGAAGTTACTCCATTTTATAGTCAAAGACTGAGAAAATACCAGGCACAAAATTCCAGGTATTGGAATACTCCATCCTGAATGGAGTAAACAGACAAAAGCCACAAGCCCAAAATGTAGATTTCCACAATCAACAATTTATTAGCTCAGATAGAAAAAAAAAATCTAATTTTACATACAGTGCAGAAATGCCTACAAATATTCTGTATTAGGGTTTTCTTTCTTCTGTCCTACTATGGCTTAAGCACAACTAGAAAACTTGGTGTCTGAAACTTCAGATTTCTGAGATTTACTAACAGTGAATTCTTCCCTCCTTCCCAGTTTAGCGCTTCATTTTCAGGACTGCTGCTACTTACCTGTTATACCCATATGAAACTGATAAAAGGCATCCGTAAGGCCGTCATGGATTATCGTGTCCTTCAGGGAAGCCTCTCCCATTTTCACTCCATCTCGCATGTGAATTACATGGGGGGCCTGCAAGGGGCGGGGGTTTGAAGAGAGTTAGATTTTCATACCAGGAGCGCAGGATACAGACACTCAGCTGGACGGGCAGCCTCTCTTAGGGCTGCAGGCAGCAACGCTGAAGCCCAGCTCACTTCWCTGCCCTGCAGCCCTCCTCACACACGCCTCTCCTGCCCCTGAGGAAAAGATTCTGTTCCTCAAAACACGCAGGCTGCAATAAACTTTGTAGCGAGTTGTTTGTTTTTGTTTTGTTGCATTTTGACTGGCCAAGGACGTAAAACTAAAACTTGGCCAGTCCAAAGGCAAGATTCTCCAGCTGTCTTCTGAAGTCTAATACCTCGTATGCTGCATTCGACCTGTGTACTTCCCAGACAACAGACCACACAGACTGCATTAAACAGCCCTGTGGGCCCATATGGGCTGCGCTGGCCCGCTCTAAATCATTCCTTGTTAGGCATCAGCCCATGTGCCCAGGACCAATCATCTGATATGGCCTGAGACTGAAAACGCTGAAATAAGAGTGCTTTGTTTTCTTCTCAAGCTCAAGTTACTTGGTGAACACTCAGTCCACGTGCCAGTGATGCTCTCATTTATGCAGTGCTTGGATCTCCTGCAGCATTTAAAAAAAAAAAAAAAAAGAAAAAAAAAAAAAAAAAAGCTTTTGCTAGTTGTCTCAAGCAAATCATTCATCACTATAGGGACAAAGGAAAAATTAAAATGTGCTTTAAATGTGATATATCCTTGCATGGTACCATTTCAGTAGCTAGTTTCCTCTATCTTTTTTTTTGGGGGGGGGSGGCTACTAAAACCAAATGCTGCATGTAAAAAGCTCAGAAACTGAAGCTYCTCTCACAACACAACTTTAACAGGGTTTTTTTCACTGGTGGCCAGCGACAGGACGAGGGGTAATGGCCACAAGCTGGAGCACAGGAAGTTCCTTCTCCAGGTGAGGARSAACTTCTTTACTGTGAGGGTGACAGAGCAGTGGAACAGGCTGCCCAGGGAGGTTGTGGAGTCTCCTWCYCTGGAGGTCTTCAAAACCCGCCTGGATGCCACCCTGTGCCACATGCTCTAGGTGTGCCTGCTTGAGCAGGAAGGTTGGACTAGATGATCTCTAGAGGTCCCTTCCAACCTTAAATATTCTGTGATTCTGTGATTAATGCCGCTTGCTCCCGGTGAGCGGGGAAATGGGAGCCATTACCTTGCTCATGCTTTCCATGCCTCCTGCGACCACGATGCTGGCATCCCCCACCAGTATGGACTGGGCAGCCAGGCACACCGCCTTCAGGCCGGAGCCGCAGATCATCTGGCAGCTCCAGGCCGGCACCGCGTAGGGGATGCCGGCGGCGACGCTCGCCTGGCGCGCGGGGTTCTGACCCGCACCTGCAAAACACCGCGTGCTTTTCCTTGGTCGCCTCCGGAAGGCCAAGCCCTCCKCTCTGCACAAAACGGGGACCTCGTTCTACCAAAACGCAGACCTTATTCCCGGCTTTAATCGGTAGACGGAAGAATTGTGTGTTATTAATAAGAGCTCAGCCTCTTCTCCCATTTACGTTGCAGACTAATGCAATATTTGCAGAGCCGGGGACTTTGGCCGCTTGTCACAGGTACTTTTCATCTGTAACGCTATTTTGGTGCCAGAAGTGGATGAAAGAGGCTGTCTATTCAATTCCAAATCACTCCTACCCAGATGCACTCTGTAAGATAATGTTCCCCTTGAACAGCAAACAGCTGGAGGGTTTATTTTTTCACGTTTTCTGGAAGCTGTGTGTACTCAGCCTCCCACCAATGCCCAGACAACAGCCTCCACTCTTTGTCCGTAATCTCTGTGGAGTGAACAGAAGCATTACACTAAAAGAAATCCTCCTTCATCTTGATCTMCCCGGGCCAAAGCCGAGCCAGCTCTTCTGTACGTGCAGACACAGACCGGGGTGGGGACAGGAGGCCGAAAACACGCGGGACGCGGCACCGCCTTCCCGCCGGGCACGAGAGAGCCCTTCCCGCCGGGCACCAGGGCGCCCTTCCCGGGAGCCCTTCCCGGGCACCCCGGCCCACCCGCGCCCCGGCCCGCGCGCGGCTCGCACCTGCGGGCAGCACCTGGCCCACGATCACCTCCGACACGTCCTCGGCGGCCACGCGCGCCCTCCGCAGCGCCTCGCGGATCGCGGCGGCGCCCAGCTCGTGCGCGTGCAGCGCGGACAGGGCGCCGTTGAAGGAACCTGCCGAGCACAAGCGGGCAGAGCGCGCTCAGCGCGGGCGGGCGGCCTGCCCAGCGGCGCCTCCCGCCGCACCGAGCGGCGCCGGCCCTCACCCACGGCGGTCCTGGCGGCGCCCACGAACACCACGGGGTCGGCGCTCATGGCGGCTCCGGCAGCAACAACTCGGCGCTGGGCCCGGCAGCGCTACCCGGAGCGCGGGGCCGTCCCTCGCCGGGGCCGCCCCTCGCCAGGCTCGCCCCGCTCCGCCCCGCGCGGTCCCGTCCCGCCCCGTCCCGTCGGGGGAGCCGCGGTCGCGCTGGCCACCGTGGGCCGGGGATTATTGTCGCTGAGGCCGCGGGTCTTTGGGAGCGGCAGGGGGAGGGCTGCGCCCCTCCGAGCAGGGCGCCGCCGGCACCGGTGTTAGTGACGGTAGCGGTGTCGGTGGCAGTGCGGGGCGGCGGCGCCGCGGCACAAAATGGCGCCCGCCGGGCCGGGCCGGGCGCTCCGCGGAGACAGTGCTGGGCTCATCTCCCCCGAAGACCCTGAGGGGCATCGGCCCAAAGCATAGGGCCCGGAGCCCAAATCCTGCCGCGTCTCTGTTATCCATTTGTTTTGAGTGGGACCCTCTCTGCTTCTAGCTCTTTGATTCAGCTCAAGCCGCTAATCTGCTCATCAGTCCTTGCTAATGACCATGTTTTGGGTTTTTTTTTTTTTTTTTTTGTGTGTATGTTTATAAAAGATAGTGCACAGCTCAAGCAATCTGTTAACAACGAATACCATGTGCCTTTAAGAACAGTTTGCTTGTTTTGTTGTACCATTCCATAGGATTCACGTGACCAGATTAAAAAAAAAGTACCCAGAACATTAAAATTGGTCAAAATTACCTCTCAATGTTAAGGTTACTTAATCACTTGATTTCAGTTAATGGTTGTTATCACCAAACTCCAAGCACACTTGTCTTAAAGAAAAAAAAAATGCTGGGCAGACTGAATTCCCACATCTGTCCCCAGCCTGGTTCCGAGTCCGTATTCCTTGCTGTGCTGGACCAACGCTGACTGAAGGGCTAGGCAGGCGCTCAGCCTAAGGGACATGAGGGCCCAAGCACCCTGTTCAAGTTGGCCTTTGTCAGCTGAAGGCCAACGAGACAGTTAGAAGCTCTGCTGCCTCCTGCCTTGTTCAGATTGTCAGACAGTTCTGGGGCATAGACTTTTACCAGGTTATTACAACTTGGTAGCAGTTTGGAAGGAAGAGGGAGAAATCAAGTCCTAGAAAAATGATTACAGACACTGGCAAATGGTGTCTGCAACAATAATATACTCATGTTTGCCTTCTGCCTGTTGGGTGAAATCAACTTGGTCTTAGAAACAATATGTGTAAAGGCTTTGAACACCCTATGGAAGCAAAGAGCAAAGGAGTGATAAAACACTTCTGCTGGGGTCCTGCTCTGCTTTACACTGTAAATTTCTCTAGCATTACTGTACAGAAAAATAAAACATAGAAAGCAAGATTGGGAAAATAGGCTCTAGGAGTACGTGCATTAAACTAAACTSTCTGGAAATCTTAGAAGCTCTCCTTTAGAGACTTCTGATTTATTAAAGGAGCATTCATAAGGCTTTTCCATTAACATTGACATGTTCATTTCTTGAAAAGAGAAGAATTCCTTGAGGTTTTCTGGTTCAGTTTACTAGTGGCAGACAGAAAAATAAATAAACCCACCTCTGATAAATCCTGTGGGTAGCCATATCCTTAGGTAGGTTAGTTTACCAGTCTCCTAAGGATACCTTAAATTGGCAACTGGCAAATGTTAAGGCACTACAGCTGTCTTTAATGAAGCTTCTGCTGGGGCTATGCAGCTAGAGCAGCTGATCCTCTAACACAACCTCAGATTAAGTTTGGATGGGAAAAAAACTAAAATCTTGTAGCACACAGAATGCCTTTCTATTTGAAGTTTTGTAAATCTAGTATCCTCATAAGTACTTAGATGGAGATAAGGTGAGGATTCAACCCCTTTCTCCCTGCTTTTAACTTTTAATACACTAGTAGATGGAAAGCTTGAATTTGAAGCAGGCTTAGCAATTGCAGCACAGCTCACTCCAGTGAGCTGGCCAGATGCAATTTTTTTTTTTTTTTTTTTTTGGCAACTCACAGGAGTGATCAAGGAGGCTGCAATGTTGAGTAAGCTTGAGGCAATGGAAATAGATGAGTTTTATACTGGTATTCTTGTCAGATTTGCAGTTTCCCGTTTAACCCTGCTTTGACAGTGGTCAGAATAGAGGTCTGTATGCATAAAAAGAATRTGTAAAGGAACAAAATAACAATTGCAAGAAAATACAGTTGTGAAACATGTATAGTACAGATGAAAGTTATATAAAAGACTATATAACAATTTTATATAACTAAACTATTTTATGTAACTATATAACTATACAACTATATGAAATGATTTTATATAACTTATATAAAATACGATTAAACATTGCTAGTGCTAGTGCAGTTGTGCTTTGAATTCAGAGTAGTTAATGAACACTGTAAATTTCAATATCAAACTGCTTTCCAAAGTTGGTACATTTCCACTTTTCTTGGAAATCTAAACTCTGAGAAATTCGGGCAGTAAAAATTCGGACACCAATTAGAACAGAGAACTTACTTGCTATCAGTAAAAAAAAAATAAAAATAAAAAAAAAGGTTATGCTGTGCAAAGATTATTTATTATCTTCTTTCTTCCTGAGAACACAATGAAATGGATTTCTGTATTAAGTGAAATACTCAACGTGCAAAGGTTTTGACATTTTCATTTACGAGTGGCTCAGTTTATTATAAAGAGTAGGGTAACATTTAGGGCATTTCATGGTTCACTGATTTACTTGTTGCTTTATTTATTTATTTTAATATTATAATGTTAATACCCAAAATATGAAATCCTTGTTTCTTTACCGTAAGTGTGACACTTGGCTGCTGAATGTTTATAGAAATATCTCTATTGGGAGTATAGGTCTGATAAAAATTAAGCTGCATCTTTTATATAAAGATGCAAAAGATGCAAAAGAAATAGCAAAGAACAAGCACTTAAGTTCCCAAATCTTTACATAAAATCATCTCCTAATAATAATAAAAAACTGAATTTTGCCCCTTTACTGTAATAGCAAGTTTTCCAATCTTTGGAGTCTCGTTCATGTTTACTTAAATGTGATTCCTCATGTAAGGAGATGCAGCTTTTTTTCCTCTCCACTGGTATATCATCCTATGTCGTTCCATATTGTGAGAAGTGAGAAGGAATTGTGCTGCCCTTGCCATGAGGTGAACGTATCATGTTACCTCCTTACCAGTGTTGCCAATAGGCTTCCACCTGGATGGGAACACTCACGGTACTAAAATAGGCAAATACTGAAGTACTTCCAGAATTAAGATACAAGTTTGAAGCAGAAATGACCCTTCTTCATCTTTTACAGAACTGGCCTTTTGCTGTAGTATATGGTGTTTGTGATACTTAAATTCATGTCAAATATCTTGCTGACATTTGAAGCAGAGTCTRTTACTAATGGTTAAAGTATATCCTGCTTTTACATATTTTTCCTTTTTATTCTTTTGTCAGCTTGACACTTGCAGCAGCGTACATTGAAACCCATGTCTTCAAAGATGAAGAATCAACCTTTGTCACAGTAAGTCATATTATGTAAGAYACCTCATAATCCTAGATACTTTGAGGATCCATAGTTTTTATCTGAATGCCTATTCACACCCCTAGGACCTGAGGACATACTCACTGTTTATATAATATGTTCTGTGCTTTGTCTGTGTTTAGAATCACTTTTATCCCTGACAGGGAATGGGAATTGTTCTTTCGGTGGTTTAAGCAAAAACCAGTTTTGTGGTTTTTTGGCAAATAGAAAGCAAAACGTCCTTCTATTCCTTAAATAAATAAATAAATAAAAATTTAAAAAAAAAAACAGTAAAAATAAAACAACTACAGGAATAAATGAGCTTGGCAATTTGCATTATTTCATGAAAAYCAGAGCTTTTTGTTCAGTTGGGAAAGATCTGAAGAAGGTTTTTCCCTTTTACATATATTTCACCTAATTTGGCATCGTGGCAGGATGTATATGGCATTCCAGCTTGCTGGACACCTTTGGTACCCTAAGACCCTTTCTTAGATCTAGAAGGAACATTCATTCATTTTTTTTTCCCCAGACTTTTTCATTACTTGGTTGACATTCAGCTGTCTGCAGATTTGGTATCTTAGCTGTACCCCACAAAGAACAAAGGTTTCCTAGGGAAGATTTTCCAAAATGYTTCCAATTTTTTTTCCCCAAATTCCTAAAATCTCAAATTCTGACCCGATTGAATGACTTTTTGGAAGCAAAGTTCCTCATTGGCAAAATGACCTTGACTTTGTTTAAGAGTAGTTTGCATCTTCCTTGAATTTTGACAGGAAAACATTAAATAAGAATCTGGCCTCAGATAAAAAATGCTTCCAAATTAAAATCATTCCAGCTTTTCTATGACTTAAAAAAAAAAAAAAAAAAGGCATAGTAAACACTTGTTTCTATACCTTTAGGCAACTATGTGAACAAACATACCTCAAATGCAAGCTTGCAGTATTTATCACGTATCCCCAAATTAACTCAAATTAAGCTTAATGGATTACACATAATTCAGGGTATGTTTATGGGAGAGCCTCTGAAATGAACACATGGCTATGGTTAGCCATCTAACAGAAAAAGGTTCCTAAGCATTATATTTTATGTAAGAATCCATAGGTGAACTTACGACCATGTGTGCTGCAGTCTTAGACACAAGTGTTGCACACCTGTTTGGCTCTGTAGAGCTGCACATGATTATGCTACTGGATTTATGTGCTGTCTTGAGCTCCTGTCTACAGCCATAAACAATTACTAATGATTTCATCAGGAGACGGCCGAAGAAAAACTTGCTTTAGAAATAGAACAAAATTATGCAGTAATTCCAGCAAGATGCTTAGAAATACCTTATCAGATGATAAAAATAAAGCATTAGGCCTGCAGCCTACCTAATCACAAACCTTTAATTTAACTTATTTTGTCCACTGCATCTGTAGCCATCAGCAGCCTTTTCCAGTGACCTTGAAGCTCATTCTCTGTTCCAGCTGCAGCCTATTTTGCCTTTTTTATATTATTATTTTGCTTTCTCTGTC